TTGCAAGTGAAAGAGTTCGCGCAGAATAGAAATGGAATTTCTAAAGGGGAGGCTCTGTCGCGGAGGCAGCCCGCATACCACCCACCAGCCTGGGTCCAGGAAGTGTTTGCTGGGCAATGAAAGGGAACGATGATGGGGAAGTCTCCTCGGCCGGGTGGCCTCTTGCTTCAACGGAGTAGAGAGGTATTGTCTTGATTTGAAGGGATTTTCTTATATCTGGCATTACAACGCTGACATTAGGGGAAGGAAACTCTGGAAACCCCTCCCCCTCCCTCCCCCCCCCGGGGGGGCGAGCTGTTGGAGAGATGGTTAGAGATTTCCAGAAAAGCTGTACTCCTTTCTGGACCAACTGCGGGATCGTGCATCTCTGCCCTGCGCAGCGTGGGAAAGAGCTGGAGGTGGGTCTCGGAGCGGAAGCCAACTCGTACTGGAGCCCAGCACAGGCAAGGGCTTTGTGGAACTCAGAGCCCAAACCCACTGGGCAGCCATGGGAAACAGGAGGCTTTCAGGAAAGGTGTTACTTACCACGAGGACCCCAGATTTGCAGGGGGCGCCTCACTGAGGACGACTGGTGGATGAGCTAAGCTTTATGGGAGGCGGAGATGCTAGGAACTAGAGCCACTGTGGCCTCGCAGATGGCGCTGGGGAAGGGACGAGCAGTGGGGCTGTGTGTCTGACCGGCTCCCCAGGCCAGCCGAGCCATCTGTGGCTGGTCTGGCACGTAGTAGGTGTTCGGTGACTGTTTGCTACATTGAAATGAATTGAAAACCCACTCTTTCTATTTTGTAGGATTTGCTTTTTGTTTGCTTTCGTTTAGTTCTTCCTTTTTCTAGTAAAGAGTTGCTTCTGGTTTTTTTAAATTTAAGGGATTTGATGCAGCTAAATTAAGCTGAAGGGGGTTGATCCGCATCTAGAACAGGGGCCCCCTGGGTGCCGAGGGCCACTCTTCCATCCTCCAGGCTCCCCTCCCTCCCTTGGTGATTCAGCCTATGCCTTCCCCAGCCCCACCTCTGCTCCATCAGCCTATGTGTGCTCCTCTTAGAGTCCTGTCTTGGGGATGGCCCTGAGTCCCCCTTCCACACTTCATACCTGCCGTCTCTGACTGCCCACTGAACATCTCCTCTTGCTCGTCCCTCGGTATCCTGCATCTCAGCAGGTCCAAAACTGCACCCACCACCTCTCCTCTCTGTTCTGTGGCTGCCCGCCTCCCTCCGGGCTTCCCTGTACCCCGGAGAGGCATCACCATCTACAGGGTGTCTCCAGCTAGAAACCTTCTTAACTCATCCTCAGTCCTGTTGAGCCTGCCTCAGACATGGCTCTGGAGTCCCGCCTCAACCTGTGTGAATCTGCCCCATCCGAGCTGTTCTAGATGCGCAAACAGGCGCCTCTCTGTTCCGGGACTGCTGCCCTCAGAGACAGCGAGCAGGCTTTAGGATTAATTCCTTCTGCCCTGTGCTCAGAGGAGGCCCTGCACTTCCTTGGCCCCACAGTTTTTCTTGGGTTTCTTAGTTCCCCTCTGGAGCCCTAAGTCTCAAGAAAGCCCAGCCAATGAGCTAGGATATGTCCTTTTCCTCCCTCCCAGTTCCAGAACTCCTGGGTCTCTGCGTGTACCGCTCTTTGGGCATCACGAGGCTTAGACAGTGGTTCGCACCCCTGGCTGCACAGTGGGATCGCTTGGGGAGTTTATGGGATGACCGAGGCCTGGGCACCACCCAGGCCAATTAAGTCATCCTCTCTGGAGGTAGGGCGCTGGTGTTGGCATTTTGTCAAGGCTCTCTAGATGGTTTCAATCTTCAGCCAAGGTTGAGAACCACTGGTTTACAGCATGTCTTTCCACTCTTTCTGTCTTGGGGGGGGGTCTCAGAATTGTGCATTCTCCAGCTCCCCAGACTGGGTCTTTCAAGTTCTTCTCCAGGAATAGCTTAACTTGGAATGATTCTATCATATCTTTGACTTTCATCTATCAATTCATCCATCTACTCTGTGCGTGGCACTGGGAAACAAATATAACTGTGTGTTCATGAGGGGCATCTATTATCTTTGGCTGATCCCCCACATCTGTTTACTTCGATTGTCCCAACCCTTGATTTTCCTCTGGGTGTCTGCTCCAGTCCTGACCCCACTCCACGGTCCTCTGTGAGAAGCTGCCTCCGCACCTCACTCGGGGCTGCCTGTGACCCCGACTAAGCCCATCAGGGATGGGCTCAGGGACGGGCCCAAGCCCCCAGGCACGCCAGTCAGACACTGTGCAGCTCAATTGTAGGACTACGGTTTGAATCATTAGGGAATTTACTCTTTTCTTGCTACATGTGAATGTGGGACCAGTGCTGGGAAGAAAGCCTATCTAAGAACAGAGCCCAGCAAGGAAGACCAAGGGAGGGACCCTGCCCTCAAAGATCCCTGTCTTACGGGGAGACTCACCTGCTGAATCATCCCAAAGGCGCAGTAAAGGTGATAGGGTGCTAGCTCAGGGCAGCGCAACAGCAGAACCCAGACAGCCCCGGGGTGCCCGCAGTTGGCTGGGCTGCTCATCTGCTCATTTCCAGTTTTGCCTGTCATAGCTGACCTCTGCTGGGAGACAGCCAGGGAGGTCCGGCCTCTCCTCAAGCTTGTTGGACTGCTGGATGACTGACTCCTCCGCCCAGAAGCTGTAGCTTTCCAGTGCCACAAGAACTCCCTGGTCCCCCCTCTTATTTCAGGCTCCCATCCCTTACTGGAGGCTGATCAAGACGCCTCTTCTCCCTTCCCAGCCTTGGCTGAAACCTGTCCTAACAAAATTCTGCCCTCTCTAGGCCATTCTCCCTCTGGCTGCCAGAGGATCTAAGATGCAAATCTGATCATGCTTCAAAACTTGTACTCACTCCCTGTGGCCCTCAGAATCAAGCCCAAACTCCTTCATGTGTCCCCGAGATGGTTCGGTGCAGTCCCACCTTACCTCTCATGCCTGGCCACTTCCTACCACACATTACTGAGCCAACCACGTGCACATTGCTATCGTTCCCCGTGTGAGTCACGCCCTGGTGCTGGTCTATTTGCAGGAATCAGCTTTCTCACCCATACATCCTTCACGATCCAGCTGGGATGTCCCCCTTTTGAAGCCTCAGCCAGGCAAAGTCAGTATCTCATGGAACTTTGTTCGTACCTCAGTTACACTTTGCGTATTAGGTTGTTTGGAAAAGGTGCTCAGTTAAGGTTAAGTGAATTAATGAATGCTTTCAGAATCGCCGCAGCAGCAGAGGACAGACAGACTTAGGAGAGCCCTGGGTGTGACAGAGGGCCTTCCTAAGAGCAGGTCCTCGGCTAGATTGGAAACAGAAGGAACTGGTGCTGGTGGTCCTGTAGCCCTCTGGTGTCATCTTAAAGAGCCGGTCCCTCATCTTCTCGGACCCTCGGGTGTCCTGCAGAGGAATCTTGACACCACGGAGAGTTTGGGACATAGGTTTGCAAAGCGTTCCCAGGCGGGAAGTGTGTGAGCTGTTTCGTACATTCTCAGAATCCTCAAGCCGACTCTACTAAATTGTAATATGTTGGCTATATAAATAGCATTAGATGAGTATTCATTCAGTTACAATAAAGAATGAAAATTTCACCCTGGTTCCACCATGAAAGCCAGTAATAATAACGGTACTTATAACGTATTAAGAAGGTACTGCTCCAGGGACTGAGCTAAGCATTTTCCATGTATTATCTCATTTAAGCTTTCGAAAGACTTTCTTGGGAGGACCACAGGGAGCAAGCTAACGGTCCAGTGAGGTCTTCCTGCCTTGCAGGTGAGTGAACAGAGAGGTTGGAAAGCTTGCTCACTGTCACCGAGATGGTCCACGGCACAGCCAGCGCGAGGCCCAGCTCTGTCTGACTCTGGTGTTGGTGCTTTTCCCCCATATTCCTTCTGCTGTCCCATGAGCCAGACTTTTCATGTTCTGTACGTCCAGGCCTTGGCCACACACACTAATAGTTCTTACCTAACCAGAGTCCCGACACAGTGAGAATGGAAACCTAGATTGCTGTCCGGACTAAACTTCATATCAAAACACACCCTCGGTCCCTTACCTGGTCCTGTGGAGTCTACCCCCAGATACATGTCTGATCAGTAATCCACCTTCCTTCAGCTCCGCCCTTATCTTTTGTCTGGGCTTCAGCTGAGCTTCTTAACCAGTCTCCATGTCTTTACTCCTGCCCCCTTCTTAACCTCTCCTCCCGGTAACCAGACTGATCTTTGAAAAAGGTAAATGATCTCCCCCCCACCCCACCCCAGCAGTGCACTTGGACAAATCCCAGATCCTGAGCCAGGCCTCAGGCCCCTGGATCCCTCTCCCACCTCGTTTTGTGCCTCATGAAACTTACCACATTCGAACCATCCTCACTTTCCATCTCCTCCGAACTTCCCACCTCTGCCCCAGCTCAGGCCTCGTCGTCCCCTCTGCCCGGGAGGGACCTCTGGCTCCACACCATCCCCAGCCGGCCCCTCTTCAGAGGCCGTTCCTGCCCACCCTTCTCAAATTAGAACTCTTCTATTCACACAGATCACAGTTTATATATTGTATGATTATTTGACTCATATTTTTCACCCAATTTTATAATTCTGGGATGGAAGGATTGTGTCTCTTTGGCTGAGCACTTTATCCCTCATGCCCAGCACAGCACCCAGTAGGTGATCAATATTTGCTGAAAGAATAAGTATTCTTCTATGTTACTATATGGTCTTCACAGATATCATCTAGTAGCTGCATAGCACCTGATAGTTCTCCATTTAATTAAGGGCTTTCATGAAACATTTGTTGCCTTTGTCAAGAACTGACCTTGTAGGGTCAGAAGAAAAAATGTTTAAAGTCCCTGGATCAGCAGTATCAGAAATCTGAACACACTAATAATAACATCATCCATGTACACGGTAAGCCTAATCTTGCTGTTGAGAGAAAAATATATATAGATTACAGGTTTCAAAATCAATGGAGTGGGTTTTGGGCAGTACGTCTTTTAAAAATAGAACAGAAGGGGCAATGTTAAATGCTTTGCAGGTGAGAGCACAAGAATTGTTCTGTATAACTTTCATATATATATATATAAAACTTTTGTTTCCATTTTATAAGATGGGTATCTGTGGAGAATGTTGAAGCGGGCCTGGGTTGCGGTGTCAGATGTATTTCTCACTGCGAGTTGCGTGGAAAAGCATGGAGACAGGTGGCTGGCTTTGGAAGTCTTGCACCCATGTCAAGGCCCCAGTATCACCAGGTGGAGTACAAGTTCAGAGCCCCGCACGCTCACCTTCCCGCCGTGGCCAATGGCGAGAGGGCGTGCAGGATTTGGCATACAGGAGACCCCCAGGGCTGCTTTCTTTTTCAATAAACTTTTTATTTCAGACCAATTTTCAATTTACAGAGAAGTGGTAAAGATAACACCTAGAGCTCTTGCACACCCCTCACCGGGCTCCCCCCACCATCACAGGACGTGCGGCCCAGGGAACCCTCGCTAGTGTGTTGCTAGTCACTGAACTCCAGACTTTCTTCGGATCTCACCAGGTTTCCTTCTTTCTCTTCCAGGACCGAGTCCAGGATCTTGGATGCATTCAGTCATCACGTCTCCTGGGTCTCCTCCGGTCTGTGATGGTTTCTTGGTCTTTCCTTCTTTTTCGTGACCTTGACGGAGGAGTCCTAGTTAGGTATTTTGTAGAATGTTCCTGAATGTGGATTTGTCTCGTGTGTTTCTCATGATTCGACGGGGGTTATGGGTTTAGGGGAAAAAAAACGTCATGCAGGTGAAGTGCACATCTTGTCACACCCTATCAGAGGGCACGAGATATCAACATCACTGGTGATGTCAAACTTGATCACTTGGTCAAGATAGGGTCTGCTGGGTTCCTCCCCTGTGAAGTTACCATTTTTCCCTATCTGTACTCTGTTCTTTCGAGGCAAATCACTAAGACACTAAGACCTACTCTCAAGAGAGGGGGGGGTGGGGCGTGTCACACTCTACCTCCTGGAGTGCGGAGTATCTACACATCTCATTTGGAAATCTTCTGTAGGGAAGATTTGCCTCTTCTCCACTTACTTAATTTATTATTTTAAAGATTTTATTTATTTATTTGAAAGAGAGAGAGCACAGAAGGAGAGGGAGAGGGAGAAGCAGACTCCTCGCTGAGCAGGGAGCCTGACTTGGGCCTCGATCCCAGGACCCCGGAATCATGACCTGAGCTGAAGGCAGACGATTACCCGACTGAGCCACCCTGGTGCCCCCTTAATAATTTATTTAAGTATGGGCTGATGTATATTTGTTTCTTATTTTGCATCATAATCCTAATCAGTGTCATTTCTCTTAATGCTCAAAGTGTTCCAGCTTTGGCCATTGGGAGCTCTTTCAGTGGCTCCTGTGTCCCCATCCTTGTGTTTTTTTCTAGCACTTTCCTTAGCCAAGGCAGCTGCGGGGGTGCGGGGTTCGCAGGCCATGCAGAGGAGGGGGTTCACGGGAAGCTCGGTTCCTCAGCTCTCTGCACCTGCAGCTCTCTGGTGAGCCCCCCAGCGCTGACTGATCTGCCCTGGTAAGAGTGCAAAACGTTCCTCGGCTGATTGTCCGTTCCTGGCGATCCAATTCTGGAAGGCTCTCCTACCCACACAGAATGGCAGGAATTCCAAGTGCCTGTGTTTGTGCCAGTCAAGGTCTGACTTCCCAGAATTCTGGGGGTATCTCTGCCCCACCCGCTTCCAACTCTGGATCTAGCCAAACATCCCCTTTGACCTTCCCGAGGCTGATGTTTCAGAGTTGGCTTTCGCCGCACCTGCTCTCGCTGGAGCACGTCCAGTAGGTGCCCTTGCTTCCTGGAGAAGAATGTAACCCCACCCTCTCTGTCAGGTTTCTCCTCCCCGAGGCTCACGCCTCTGCCTGGGGCTGGACCCTGTGCTCTCCCCACCCCCGTCTTTGGTCTGGTGCCCCCCACTGGCCCCTGTTGCTCGGCCTACAAGGATCCTCGAGTCTCCTGTCCCTGCGCCAGCCTCCGGCCAGCACAGCATCTCTCTCCCCTCCCCTCAGGCCTCTTGAAAGAGGACACTCGGCCCATCCTTTTCCTTGACAACTGGGCCACACAGAGCAAGTCGCTGGGAGATCTTTCACACAAAAGGGGTGATGACTGGTTTTGATGCAGTGGGAGGCACGGAGAGGGACGTCGAGTGGCCCCACTCTCAGGCAGATCCCATTGTGACGAAGGCTGCCGCAGGCTCTGGCTTGTCTGGGAAGGCTCCCGAGACGCAGCACCCCATCTGGGCCTGGAGTTGGGGTTGAAGGAGAGGAGGGAAGCCACTCCCCACAGGTCCTCCAAAGTTGGTGCAAACGAGGGGCATCTGTTTCCAAATCTTGTCTGGTCCATGCTTTTCCTTTTTACCCTCACCCTGTAGGGAGGGCCTTTGTCCAGGGGGACAGCCACTTTACCCATGGAACGTCGAGCCTTCCGTGGGCTCACACCTCCAGCACCGCCCTGCTTCCCACATTCAGTGATTCACGAGCTCCTCCTGTTTCCCCTCACTGCATCCTCCCAAGGTAAGTGGGTGTGCCCTTCCCATCAGTGGAACAAAAAGATATTCTTGGTCACAATTTGGGAGACGGCTCAGCCTGCTGCATCATGAATCTGTGTTCTGATACCCCCACTCCAGCTGAGCTGGCCTCTGTCATTATTCCCCAACGCTGACTTCTGCCTTCGACATTGCTGAGGACAGCCCTCACCCCCACCCCTGGTCTTTGGAACCCAGCTGGTGATAGTTATGTCTCCTCCAGGACCAAATACCAGTCCTGGCTCTGAACAGACTCACTTGTGCTTACAGACCCTGGCGAATTTTGTGTGTGTGTGGCCTGGCCTATGCTAATTCATTCATTCAACAGGTATTTATGGAGGACTTTCAGGCACAGCTTTAGGCACTGGAGATACAATGATGAACAGAAAGACATGGCTTCACAGAGTTTCCAAATGTGCCTGGGAGACAGATATTAAACTAGTAATTTCACAAATTTATACTGCAAATAATAAGTGCAATATGGGAGTATGGGAGTTCACAGTTTGTCTAGGGCATTAATAAAGGTTCCACAAGGAAGTGACAGTTTAACTGAGATATGAAGAATGAGTAGGAATTGACTAGGGGTGACACAGACAGGAGAGGAGAAAATCTTCCCAGAGGGAGAGAGTAGCATGTGCAAGGGTCCTGGGGCTGAAAGGGGGATGGTCAGTTAGCTAAGGGCAGGAAGAGGAGAAGGAGAAAGAAAAAGCTGGAGAGGGCAGTGGAGGCGCCATGGGGTAGGGGCTTGAGGCATGTTTAGTATCTTGGTCTTTATCCTAAGGACAGTGAGAAGGAAGCCACTGAAGGATTTTAAGAAGAGTGACATGATCAGATTTGTAACTGAGAAAATTACTGACCACAGTGTGAAGTACAGGGGATGGGTGCCCCCTGAGAAGACCTTGGTGGTTAGCCGGTAAACTTGTGGTCCCAGAAGAGATGAGGGTAGGTTTGAGATGGTGGCCCTACTTCATATGCTTGTTCCTTTACTTTTTTTTTTTTTTTTAACTGTCCTGAAATGGCAGGTTTATGTGGGCAGTGTGTTCTCAGCAGAAGATGATCTGGTGGGAGGCCCTCAGGGGCAGAAGGTTAGCTTAGTCTTAGTGCCAGCCTTTGGTAGGGAATCAGAACATGATGTGTGGACAGGGGATTCAGGGACTGCTCTTCTTTAAGTTCCTCTTTTTGCCATCTCAATTTCCCTTGCTCTAAGAATAAAAGCAAGCTTAATTAAGCCTCCTTAAAAGCTATTACGCTAATTGGGAGCCCAGCCCCATCTTTACCCCGGGAAGAGCCCAGAACACCTGCTGCAGGTGCAGGATCCTTCCTGCCACCTTGGCTTCCCGGAATTTCATGGCGGCGGCTACCCTGAGCCACCAAGCCCGGCAATGGACAAGAAATGAAGGTGGGCTTCAAGGAGGGGCATGACCGTGCCCATCTCAGAGTCTGGAGACCTGAGCTCCGGGCTGAAAATGTGACCTTGGGCAACTCACTTCCCCCGCGGGGGCCTCAGTTCCCTCCTCCGCAATCGTAGGGTGGCCCCAAAGTCCCTCCAGCTGCGAGCGCGACTCTCGGGCCAGCAGGCGGGATGCTCGCCCGGAGGCACTGCGCCAAGCCCCCCGGCGGTCTGGGGGGG